GTACCACTTGGGACTTGTGTTTGCATGATGCGATTTGAGCGTCCTGCCTTTTGGAAGGAAAAGATGGGTCTGCACCAACTGGTGCGGGTTGCGAAACGTTGATCTCTTTGAAGTTCGTCGGGTTCTATGTGCGGGGGTCGGGTCACCGGGCTGTCAGGCAGGAGTTCGTCTCATCGGCTGATTAATAGCATTCTCACCGGAGCGGTCCGAGCATGGCTCGATGACCTTGCCTAGGCGGGATGTGAAACGTCTTCTCAGGCGGGGCGACTGCTTGTCGGCAGACAGCAGGGGGACCACTGCATGTGGGGCAAGGAGAGAGCCTCGGAGACGATTAGTAGTTTCTCGTAGCATGGTTTGGGAAAGGCTGATTCTTGTCGGACCGATGAAAGTGAATGTCCGGACGGCTGACTGTTGCTCCTAACGGGGTGCGCAGGGGTAATTCCCGATACCAACGAGGGTATGCAAGAGCGGCAAAATGGGACAGGGTATTTTGGGCGAATGGAGAGGGGTAACACCTTGTGCCGGAGCTTGGGTACCGCGCTCACGGCCGTTGAGCTGCGCTTGAGGTATGGATAAAACTCTACCGATAGTACCAGCGGAGAGACCATATTGGGATAGGCCGGTGAGGAGATGACCGACCCGCATGTGAGATTGCCTGATTTTTTTTTATGTGTTCCCCCTCTGTAAAAATTGATTGAGCTTGGATTATTGGACGGGGCATACTTCTAAGTCTATTCTTTCCTCCCCATCTAAGTCTACACGAGTGAGAGATGATCAGAAGGAAGGAGGATAGAGGGGAGTTAGAATGAAACCAAGAGAAAGAATGTGAGGAAATGGATGGCCGACCGAGGGTATTATGGGAAGATGGTACTTAGGGGTGGGGAGGTAAATTAGGGAAACCTTGATGAGAGGTCTGAAATAATTCTCACCTAGGACGAGGGTTTACCTGACCAGAAGGACCGTTTGGTACTCTCTTATGGAAACAGTGGTCGGGTGTTGGAAACGAGATGGCGCGGTGGTTGTTTTCCCCGATCTATACCAGCGGTCCGGAAATGCCAGTAGATGTAAGGGATGGGGTAGCGGTCATCCTCCCGGAAGATGGGACGTGGACAGATCTTGAGCCAGCATATCAAACTGTAATGCTGGAAGAAGAGGACGCGTTCCTTTGGATAGAGACAGTATGGACTAATGTCAGTTTGACGAGGTTGTCGCCAAGTTTAATGGATTTGGAGTTCCGAGGCACAGTGGAAGCCCGGGGGTGGGTCTACTTATCACAAAATGGGGAGAATGCTATGGTCATAGATTTGACACTCGGTAATACGCCGGACGAATTGTTTAGGAGGGCAGAAGCGAAGGTTGTATGGGCCGCGTGTCAGCGGAGGGAAATGGAAATGGAAAGGGTAGATGTGCGGGTGGAACTTGGGGATAGAGGAAGCGTGAGGCGACTCGTCAGAACCATACGATGTGCGTTGCCTCCTTTCCTGGTGGATGCAGTCTTCGGGACCCGGAGCAGGCTAGTACGGATATGTCAGTCCATGACGACCCTCGGACTATACCAATGCGTCAGGCAAGACTTCTTTCGGTTGTCGGTAGAAATGGGGCCATTTGAAGGGAATTGGGCGGAGGAGCTGGTAGAGATGCTGAACTGCATTAGCATAGACAATGTCTTTGTCTCTAGCTCTGTGCATTGGGGGATAGTCTACAGAAATGTGTCAGGGAGACATTCCTGAAGGGGGTGAGGGAGTTGTTCTACAACGAAGAGGACGACTTCAGTGATGAGGACGAGGATGATGAGATAGAGGACTGAGACTTCTAAGGAGGGTGACTTAGTTAGGGAGACCGAGTGACCTGGCATTCTGCAGGAAGGAAAATGATGACTAGAAAGGAATTGCTGATGGAATACACCTTCAAGGGATTGGAACCATGGCAACTCAAAGGGGGAATAAAAATGCGTATACCGACAGAAAACGAACGGAGAGGAACCACATGCGACTGGGTTGGGTTTGAGGTTGACCCGAAACTATCATATGTATGGATAGAGCGGATTTGGAACCCAATAAGGGAAGAGGAAGGTTGGGACGAGGTAGCGGAAGGCAAAGTGGAATTGGTCGGAACGGTCGTTCTTTCCGAAGACGGGTAGCGACTATTTTGCACTATGATAGCAATGGGACATGATCCAATGTGGCTTCTGGGGGATGCAGAGGCGCGAACCCGAAAAGAAGGCAAGAGGTTCGCCAACGAGGGATGGGACGAAGTTAGTAGCAGGGTTGTGATGGGGGGGTGGAAGGAACTCAAGCCACCCAGCCTACGAACAACGGCTTGGGTGCCTGAGTTCGTGGCCGAGTGGTTTGGGGGTTTCGAGCACATCGTAGAAGTGGCCGACTCCATGAAAGAAGTACACATAGAGTGTGCCTGGCTTACTGATGAATTTCATAGAATCTCGTTAAAATATGGACCCTTCTACAAAGATAAAGTCAGGGAAGTCCTCAACGTCCTGAGGATAGGCAAGTATGACCGCCTAGAGGTAGACGCGGAGGCTTGGGACGCCATAGTGAGCCGGGAGGCGGTGGCCGCTCCATCCTACGTGGATGATGTCTTTAAACTGTTTGAAGTATTGTGGTTCGATTAAAGGGACCAAGAAATCGAACGCCACGGGGAAGTCAAGAGTAGGGGGGAGGCGCGCAAACTAGGGTGTAACATAAGAAAGGGGCATGTGCATTAGCTTAGCAGGACATACGAGGGGATGGAAGCAAGGGAAGGTGTCCGACCATTGTGGGCGCAAATGTGGAACGCATGACATAAAAGAGGAAAGGGGACATAAGCGGGAAAGAAAACAGTAGGAAGGTGGGTATTTGCTGAAGAACGGGTCGTAATCCTTTCCATGTGGACTATGCAGGAAATTATTGAAACAACAATGGCGGCAAGACGTGTGCGAATGGAACGCCAGCCCCGGTACCCCGGACCGCCCTGGAATAACGACAGAAGATGGGAAGTGTCCCTTCCGTCGAATGCCAACTTTCGGGGATTCGACGTGGAATGGAGAGTCGTGACTTTGGGGAGAGACAACGCCTTTATGTTGGTAGAATGTCGGTGGACGGGGATGAGATTCAACCGAGGACCTACGGATGACTTGTTTTCCAATTTAGAAGTTACCGGGACCATGTATCTACCTGAGATCGGTTGACACTCGCTGGGGGTGGGGATAGCACAAGGTCACGAACTTGCACCGGTCTTTCGAAGGGCCGCCCGAACGTTGACTCGAATAGGTCAATCGATCAGGGGTAGGAGGAACGTGGACTTACTTACCAGGGTGGAAATGGGGGGTTGGAGAGAGTTCAGGGCACCAACCACCCCGCTGAGATGCCGGGTCCCCCGATTCATGATAGACATCATCTTCGGTAGCCTCGCAAGGGCGTAGGATCTGGCGGACTCGACAATAATCTGGGTAGACCACTTCCCTTATCAGACCATCGAAATGTTCTATGACGTTTCTGTGGAGCATGGGTCGTTCTGGGGAAACCGGGCTCATGAATTGCTGGAAGTCATTAATATCCTGATATTTGGGTTGTCACGGCTAGCTTGGGCGGAATACGAACACATAATCCGGAGGGAAATTGAGATAGGAGAGAGTTACCTAGCGGGGGTGCCTCAACTGTTCGAGGAGAGGACGAGAGCGGGACTAGCACCCGGAGGCAGGCCAATAGGGCAAATCAAGTATAGTCCGCTACGAACAGGGGCGCACCAATGGAAATGGGGAAGGACCATCGAATCAGACGGTCAAAAACCACTGCAGAATAAAGCAAGAGGGGTAGACTCCTAAGGATTGTTGTGGCCCGAAGGTTGAAAAAGGGGAGTACTGCTCGGGGGACTTTTCCTAACAGGACGCCCGACCAGGATTCCTACGCGCCAGCCCGACAAAACATGGGCACTCTGAAGGGAAACTAAGCCATGTCCCTCAGCTCGATAGGGCGGCAGGGCCGGTCGCGGCTCCTTCTTAGGGAATCAATCGGGGGACGGAAATGGGAAGAAGGCTACTATCCGAATAAAGAAAAACCGACAAAACCAGAACCTATGGAACCTAAATGCCTCGCTCTGCGTGTGTCCTGGGGAATCATCTGGTTTATGCAGAATTAGGCAAAAATGGCGACGGAGGATGAGACGGATAATCGTAGGAGCGAGGAAGGACCGGGCTTAGGAGGTAGTGCGAAAGCGAAGAGGGTCAGAAAGACAGAAAATCGATAAATCCAAACGATACCAAAGGGAATTGGAATGAAATCCCCTCAGGGGAAAGCTCGGGGAAAGCCGGGGGAAGCAGGTAAGGGACTCAGGAGACCAAGGAGGGCAGAAACAAGGATAGGACAAGCCGTCGGAATTCAGAGGGACTTGTGTCTAAGAAAGTGAGAGTCACGGATGCGAGGCACAAACTAGCGGAAATAAAAAAGAGGACTGCGGAGTACAAGGCGAGACTGATTGAGGAAATGATGACTGGGAACGAGGAGGATCCCCCGCAGGAGGAACCGCGGGATGGGCGGAAAGTCGGCCAAGGCGGAAATAGACAAGGGGGTAAGGATAGTGATCGCCGAGGGACACCGAGCAAGAGAAGGAAAAAAAGAGAAAATTCCCCAGGGATGGAAGCGGAGAAAGTTACAAATCCACCAGCATAGATAGTAGAGCTAGCCGTCTGCCAACCACGCCCGCGCCAATGCGAGGGTGCGAAGGGCTCTGGAGCCTTAGGGAAAGGGTGTTGGGATGGTTCGACCCGGTGGGGACTGCAAAGACTAGTGAAGGACAGAGGGCCGGCAAGGAAGTGCAGGATACCAGTACGACAGGCGAGGCCAGTAGCTCTGAAGGTGGCCTCAGGAAGATAGTGTCGTCCCTCGCGCGAGCCCTAAACAAAAATCAGGGTTACCTTGCGGACGCTAAGAAAAAGTTTACATTCGACGGGGCGAACATCACGGAGTCCCTAATAGATTACGATAACCTGGCGACATTGTTAAAGTGGACCGAAGAAGAAAAGATGGACCACCTAGGGCAGCATGTGTCATTGAGCCTGGGACGAGACATAATGGCCATCGTGGCCACGGACCGATCCTAGAAGGAGACCCGGGATGTAATGATGAGGAAGTACCTGGCATCGGAGAAAATGCCAACGGAGGTCGACTTAGCGACAATCCAGAGGAAGAACTTTGCAACGTACAATGACTTCCTACGGGAGTTTACCTTGGTAGCACTAAGGATCCCCGGGGTTATGGACCGGATAATGAGAAAATACTTCCTCAGGCAGTTCTCCGAGTTCGACAAGGACAAGATCCTGTCGACTTACCAACAGACGAGCAAGTTTGTAAACACCAGGGATGTGGATTTTAGTACGGTAGCGGATCTGGCCGAGAAGACAGTAGTGACCGAGACATTGGCCTTGCTCAAGGAAGGGGAAGTCATAGATCTGACTGTAGGACAGACGACAAGGTAAAGAAGGGGATTGGAAGTCTACATGAACGGGTGCACGGAGTCGACAACAAGATAGAAAGGGTGGAGAACGCGCTACTGGTTATGCAAGTGCAAGTATCCCGACCCGCCCTCCCTCCCCAGGAAGCCGTAGTTCCGCCAGGAGTAGCTAATCGAGGATTCGGACGGAGAGATCCCGCTAATGAGCAATGCAAGTACTGCACCGCGGTGGGACATTTTGTGCGCGCATGTCCAAAACTCAACCATGATATATTGAAAAGGAGATGTACCAGGTCATTAAAGGGAGAGATATTCGGACTGCAGGGAAAACAGGTGAATTGGAATTTGCCAAGGGGAATGCGACGAGCTATTATCATGCTCAATGGGCTAGAGATAGCGACCGTAAAGGCTGAGTCGGTGGTCAATATCATCTGGGATCAACTTCGGGGACGTGGGCCGCAGGTAAACTTCATTCTGGAAAATGACGGACGTGATAGGGTGAATGCGACTACTCGGCTAGGGACGGCTGGGAGAAGGATTATCCATGACACCGTGATGGAGGAGGTCGTTGGAAGCTCCGTACCCCAGGCAGAGCCCGAGGCCAGGGAACCAGAGAAAGTCTATGGGAAGCCTAGGGAAGAGGAGCCTACAAAGAAAGTTACTGCTGCTAAAAAGAAGTTTAGGTATCAAATCCCGATCTTAACCATGCCTGAGATCGATGACACCCTTAGCAAATTACTAGGAACCATGGTGTCGGTGTCGTTTCAGACCATGCTGCAGGCCAGCCCTAGGTTGCTCAAAGGGCTTAGACAACTGTTGACTTGGTGGCGAGTAGAGATAGACGAAAACCCCGAATCACCGAAAGAGGAAAGGGAGGAGGAAGCTCCGCAAGAAGTCGTGAACCTTCAAAGGAGTCGTGGGGATTTGGAGGATCTCGAGAAAGCCTTTGCGGACATCCGCCTGAGCTTGCTAGACCGAGAAGGTGGCGAGGTCATGAGGGCACCTCCTGGAACAAAACTCAGTTTCCATGCGTTACCCGTAGGAAAGTTGAAAATGCAGATCGGGACTCATCATACCGACGCATTAGTAGACGGGGGAGCGGAAATCACTCTCATAAGGAGAGATTTCGCAACAATCACGGGTTGTATGGTAAATAAGGAAGTAACAGGGAGCATCCGGGGAGCCGGTGGGAAAATCCCGTTCGTCGGGTATGTCACGAAATGCGCAGTCAAGGCAGGAATCAGGGAGTCAATCTGGTCGTTTCAACGGATGACGGTAATGGAGGAAATGGACCACGACATAATCCTCAGGAAACCTTGGGAAGCAAACATAGAAATGATAGGCATGCACTTGCACGATGGCACGTACATGGTAGACATAGAGGACCCAGTAACCGGCCGGGGCGAGCTCCTCCGACTCCTTGGGACGAGAGGAGACCCTCCGAAGGGGAAGTTAGCGACATGGTCACCATCATTCGAAGATAGCGCGCGGAAGGAGGATTTTGCGCGAATGGAGGGCATGAGAGAAAGGGTAGAAATCATGATCGAGGAAGCATTCAATAAAAAATAATGGATTAAGATGGGCCTATCCCAAAAGAAGAGAAGGCAGGAGGACGAAGTCTTAGGTGTCATGGTGGCGGAGAAGGAGTCAGAAGTTGAGCTTGGGGTCAGCCTGCCCAAGCGGAAAGAAGTGCGCATGGACGTACCGGAAGTCGCGCTCGAGATTCCCGATTTTTTACAGCTCATCAAGGCTATCAGATACCACAATGTAGGGGTGGACCCGGTGGAATTAGGCAAATTTGAAGGAGGCGTGCAGAAGGGATACTGTCTGAATGGAAAATTAGTCAGTATTCAGCCGCGAGGTGTAGATGTGACAAGGGTAATTCCGACCGTTCATTTTTTAGGAGAAAGATCCCGGAAGGAAGTGTTCGAAAGTACAAACCAGTAGGGAAGAAAGCGAAACCGGTCTTGATTCTGCTAGAGACATCCAAGGAAGAGGCCATGGAAAAGGAGAGATACGTTCTCCGAGTGATCCGAAAGAGGCGGGCAACGAAAGGGCATCGGATACCAGATGAGGTAGCTGATACAATGAAGATAGGAGTACAGAGATTCTTAACAGAAAAAGAAACCTTCCTAATCAAAAAGACGTGTCAAAGTTTCACCTGGCTTTAATTGTGATTACTTTTGTGGGAGCTATGACATCCTTTTTTGCGGCAACTACAGGAATTTTACAAAATGATTTAAAAAGGGTTATTGCTTATTCTACTTGTAGCCAATTAGGTTATATGGTATTCGCTTGTGGTATCTCCAATTATTCTGTGAGTGTATTTCATCTGATGAACCATGCTCTTTTTAAAGCATTACTTTTTTTGAGTGCAGGTTCTGTGATTCATGCAATGTCTGATGAACAAGATATGCGCAAAATGGGAGGATTAGCTTCTTTGTTACCTTTTACTTATGCTATGATGCCTTTAGTGATCACCAAAAGGGGTGGTTAGACGCGAAGCTAATTCCCCCAGTCAGAATCCACACGGTAGAGCATGAGTGTTGGAATGACAAAGGGTCGTCCTATGAATTTGGGATAACAGGGGAAGTAACAGACCTTCTTCGAGCAAAGATGGACTCCTTCATCGCAAAACCTACGGCGTTACCTTATGCGAACCGGTGGTTCGTCTTTAGGAAACCCAACAAGACGCTAAGGTGGATTCAAAATTTGTAGAAGTTGAATGTGGTAACCATTCGAAATGCTGGTTCGCTACCTCAAGCCGATTTATTAGCCGAGTCTCACGCCGACCGGAGCATTTACTCTCTGATAGATTTGTACTCGGGGTACGACCATCTATCATTGGATGTTCGAGATAGGCCGTACACCGCAATGCGCACCCCCGTAGGTCAATTGCAGATGCAGGTGACCCCTATGGGTTTTACAAATGCGGTAGCCGAATCGCAAAGGAGAATGTTCGCCGTAGCTGGAGACATGTTTCCAGAGATGTATGAACCTTACATCGATGACAATCCAATCAAGGGTGCCCAAGAGAAGGACGAAACGAAAGTCCAGTCGGGAATCAGAAGATTTGTGTGGGACCATCTACATGATATCAAAGACTTACTTCGCCGATTCCTAGTATACAACATCACGGCTAGTGGACGAAAGAGTATTCTAGCGGTACCAAAGGTAACCATATTTGGATTTCGTTGTGGCGCATATAGTAGGAAACCGGATCCCGCTAAGATGGACAAGATATCTCAGTGGCCAACACCCCTGCGCACGACAACGGAGGTAAACATTCTTAGGCGTGGTCGACTTTTGGAGGATTTTCATTAAAAGTTTTGTCAAGATTGTTGAGCCTATCCGGGCCATAATTAGAGAAGAAGGGACCATGGACTGGACAAAGGAGCGAGAAGAAGCCGTACAAACCCTCAAGGACATACTGACATCGGAGCAAGTCACCTTGTCAGCACTCTGTTTTAATGACGAAGTGGGACGACCATTCATCCTAGAAATGGGTGGAGGACCATTGGCCGTAGGAGGCGTACCGATTCAAAGGGATGAGGAAGGAAACGAAAGGCCAATCAGGTTCGAAAGTAGAACCCTGAACTTCGCAGAACAGGAGGTTCTAGCCATCTTGCATTGCCTCAAGAGCTTTCAGGCCTACCTATTTGGGAGGCGGTTCATCCTTAGGATCGATCCGACGAATGTTGCAAGGGCCTTAATGAATTACCGGCGTATAAATCCGACGGTGGGGAGATGGGTAGGATTTATCTGGCAGTTCGATTATAAGATCGAACGGATTGCTGGAATCAGAAACGAGGTCGATGGGATGAGTCGGGTCTGCATCACTCCCGAAGGGGTGGAGGATGCGGAGCCCATAGACGCATTTCTCGAACACGAAGGATGAACTCTTGCGGTGGATAACGAGATGATGGGGGAGGAATGCGCGTTAGGAGAACTGTTGATCCGGACCTTGGAGAAGGGGGCACCTGCCGTAGTAGCAGAACTTAGGGAAGGACCAGTCAGCACTCAAGGTCGCAAAGAGAAGAAAGACTCGTGGGGAGCGATAGTAGGACCGAAGGAGGAACGAATAGCAATGACGATTGAGGGAGGCCGGGAAGCCGTGATGAGCCTAGTAGAATGTTGGGAAAGGAAAGAGTTGCAGTGGATGGTAGACCAGACGCAGGAGAGAAAGAACGAGGACCAGGAAGGGAATAAGTTTTTCTATGTTCAGGTATACGAAGGAATTTTTCGGGAGATTGGGTTGTTGTTGGTAGAAAACAAACAACCCAAGGAAGTCAGCATTAAAGCAAGGGAGGAGGCCGAAAGATACGTCCTAAGGGGTGGTCACCTGTTCAGAAGGGAGGAAGGTGTCATGCCTAGAAGAGTTGTGTGCGGGAGATCTAGACAGTTGGACGTGATTCAGGCAATGCACGACGGACTAGGACATCGATCTTCCAAATGAACTCTTGCGAAGATAGCGCCGCTCTATTATTGGTCAGGCATGGAAGGTATGGTCGCCACGTACTGCCAAACCTGCCTGATCTGCCAAGAACGGAGTTCGACGCGCGTCTTTGAACCGCTTAGACCAACGCGGGTGCTGGAGCCGGGACATCCGATCCACCTTGACCTTGCGGTCATGCCTGTATCAACAGATGGGTACAGGTATATCCTAGATGCGCGAGACAACTTGAGTGGGTTCATAGAGGCGGTCGCTCTCAAGAAAAAGACAGGGAGAAGTGTAGCGGATTGGATAAAAGACTTCTACTTAAGGCATCCCTTCATCAGGAGGTTTATAGCAGACAATGAGACAAAATTCGTGAACCAAAAAGTGTTGGGAATACTTAAAAGGCTCTGCGTACCGATCAAGTTCATCGAGCCATATCATCTGGAGGCCAAGGCACATGTGGAAAGAGGGCACCAAACCTTAAAGAACATGACTGCGAAGCTCGCAACGGACAATCTGGGGAGCTGGCCTAGGTACCTTAAGCAGGTTGTCTTCTCAAAGAACATGACACCTAAGAGGACAACGGGATGTATCCCAGCGAAACTTTGGTACGGAAGGGAGATCGACTTTCCCGTAGAGGCCTTGATACCAACCTGGAACAAGTTAGATGGCGATCCGCATATAACAACGAAAAAATTGATTGAGGCAAGATATCAACAAGTTCCTAGGAACGAGGAGGTCATGGAAGACATCGCCAACCGGGTACAAGACAACAGAATGAGGGACAAAGCAAGGTAGGACCGGGTTAAGAATGTCAGAAAGGAGTCACTTCAGGTGGGGGAGACAGTATTACTAAGGAACTCGACACTAGAAAGTACTTGATCTGGGAAACTGGGAAGGAGGTTCAAAGGCCCCTACCGGGTCGCCAAGCGGGTGGGACTGAACACCTTCGAGCTGGAAGATTTGGATGAAACTGGATTAAAAGGACCCTTCTCAAGACAACGATTGGTCAGGTTTCTAAGTCAGGACCCAGTGGAACAATGGCTTCAGGAGGCCGAGGATAAGGAAACAGAGGGGCTGCAAGCTATGGACTGACAACGGCCTTGACCACACTATGGTTTTTGTCTCTGACTACGTGTATGAGACTGCCATCCTTTTGGGTTGGGGCAATGGTTTGGACTCATTGAAGTAGGAAGGCGGGATGTTTTGGGATCTTGCGATAACAGGTTTTGTGTGACGACGGGAAAAAATTGTTGGGAGCATGGTATCATAGTTTTTTATGGGGAAATAATGGGATCACCACAAATGAGACATTTCCATGAGAAGGGAATATATGATAGTGGCATGGTGCGAAGGGTACTGGGACCATTCTAGGGAAAGGGGAATTGCCTACTTGACTGGGGGGGGCGTGTGTATGAGGGGCTTGGCGGGTGTTGTTTTGTTATATAGGACCAAGGAGAAAAACATAAAAAAAACAAAATGAAATTTGAAAACGAGAATGATAGCGGGCAGTCAACAGACCTACCGAAGAGGGAGGAGCGGGGCCAAGTCGAGAACGGAGGACTGTCAAGAGAAAATTATACATACGGTTCATGTCCAGGCAAGTGGTGGGCAGGGGTGCGAGAAAGCGTGTGTGTAGAGGACCTTCGCCTCTTCGGATGGGAGAAGGCATATATATCTCATCCGGAAGTGAGAGCAAGGAAGAAAGGGCGAGTGTGGGAGAAGGGGGCAAAGCGGAGACGGGAGAAAAGGCTCAGGCCTCTGACGAGGGAGGGGCCGAGAGATGCGAACAACATGAGCCTTGGCTTGAGGAGAACGAAGGGAGAGACGACGGGTGTGATAAACGTGAGGATGAGGGAGAAAGAGGGGAAGGCCCGCATTAGGAGCGGAGTGGTCATTGCAGTTGTGAGGGGAGGAACCCGAACTTGGAGGAGGGAGATGGGAGAAACGCAGAGATTCCATATAGCTACGATCCAAATAACTTGACGGGTGGGTACAGCCCCATACAGACAGAAGAAGAGGAGGATGAGGAGGAGGAAGTACATGAGGTCACAGAGATCAGCAATGGGGATGAGAAGAATGAAATCTCGAGGCCTAGAGAAGAAAGGCGGTCCTTGATACACCAGCCACGCGAAGGGGCCTTCAGATAGGAGGATGAGTTTGGGCCAACGCCCAGTCATTGGTTCCAACAATGGCTAGGTGTGATCAAACACGAGTGGATTATCAAGACCCGGGAACTCGCAAGGGCAGGGGTGGTAGCCACACCTTTGGATTTCTACAGTGAGATGGAGTTGTGAGAGATTGCGAAGAGGAGGAGAGAAATCATGGCCTCCGGCTTGGGGGTTAAAAAGCTAGCAGAAAGACAAGACGAGCACGAGACCGAGCGAGTTGAGGCACATGACAGCAATAGGGATTAGATGTTGTTAAGTGCAGGACAAGAAATTGTGATTTCCTTTCTTTTACACATATGAGATGACGAGGTTTGTATAGTATGAGTAAGCTTGTGAGGAATGCGGGATAAAAAGACAAGCTATGACTGAGTCACGATAGGTTAGAAAGATGGCATTTTGAGGCTACTTTCTGGATGAGCCACCTTCGAAAGTGTGTAGACAAGACAATGGCACGGGGCATGGGATGAGACTGGTTGGGAAAGGTGTATTGTGAACTTTGGATGGAATGAGGAGTGTGCCTTCGAGAAGAAAAACTGTGAGTACAGAGTGACGAGCAAAGCAAGACGTGAATGTTGGTCAAGTACAAGAGAGGTTAGGGAACCTATGGGGTAAGGGGCGTGAAGAACACTCCTTCCCTAGGAGCCTAATCCAACTGAGTCATGAATGAGTCTGAAAATAGGCAAGATCTGGATGATCAGAAAGAGTGCAAATAGAGGGGGTGCCCCGGTTCTCTGCTATGGTTGAACGGTCGGGTGGGCTAGTGCTGCTTGGGGTTGTGAGCCTCAATTTGAGCACTAGACGCTAAGTCAGATGTATGCATGGATAGTAAATTACCTTGAGAATGGATGAAGGAAACCGCACGCAGGAAACTGAAAAGAGATGGCCACCTTCTAACCTCCGAGACAGAAATGGGATCCGTGTCCTCGAGGCCCACCCCCTCGCGCGCTAACATTGGGAATGGAAAAGAATGGCCCTAACCAGACTGTTCGACTTGAGAATGAAAAAGAATGACCCTAACCAGGCTGTTCGACTTGAGAATGGAAAGGAATCGCCCTAACCAGGCTGTTCGACTTGAGAATGGAAAGGAATAGCCCTAACCAGGCTGTTCAATTTGAGAATGGAAAAGAACGACCCTAACCAGGTTGTTCGGAAGTGGCCCCTAACAAGGGTCATTTCTTTTGAAATAGGCACTGGGGTCCCCTGCATAATTGATTGAGAAAGGCTGATTAAGAATGAGCTGGAATGAGCAGTGTGAAATGGGAAAGGCCGACGGATCGGTCATTGAAATAACTATGAGGATGGATAAAATAGAATGATACGTTGAAAAGAGAAGGGCAGGATGAAGAAGGCCGAGACTTAAGATGAGAAGGGCATAGACCGTTGAGGCGGTCATAAGGATTAGATATTGAGGAATGTGAAAATTGAGGATTGAAGGTGAGTCGAAGGGTCGGTCTTGAGAAATGGCTATTGAAAGAGCGACAACCAGATCGGTCGCGTGGGATGACCTTGTTGATGAGAGGTTGTCGGACCAGCCATGAGAATCAGCTGTGAGAAATGACTGGAAATGGCCTATGAATCCCCCTCGGCGGCGGACAGGCGCAGCCAAGTCCGCGGCCGCGGCCGAGTCTGCGACCCCGCGGACGCGTGGCGGCCGCTGGGGAAGGGGGTTTGGGAAACGGGAAGCGCCACATGGCGGCGCAACCCCAGCCCCACCCCATCAGGCAAAAAAAAACGAAAAAAATCTAATTTTTGGTTGGGGGGGTAAGAGCGAAATCGAAGAAAAAATAAAAAAAAAA